CCGAATTTGGGAAAAAAACCGGAATTTTGGGGGGAAAAAGCGGGAATTTGGGAAAAAAACCGGAATTTTGGGGGGAAAAAGCGGGAATTTGGGAAAAAAACCGGAATTTTGGGGATAAAAGCCTGGATTTGGGGATAAAAACCGGAATTTTGGGGGGAAAAAGCGGAATTTGGGAAAAAAACCGGAATTTTGGGGGGAAAAAGCAGAATTTTGGGGGGAAAAAACGGAATTTTGGGGGGAAAAAGCAGAATTTTGGGGGGAAAAAACGGAATTTTGGGGGGAAAAAGCGGGAATTTGGGAAAAAAACCGGAATTTTGGGGGGAAAAAGCGGAATTTTGGGGGGGAAAAACCCCGAATCTGGGAAAAAACCGGAATTTTGGGGGGAAAAACCCCGAATTTGGGAAAAAAACGGAATTTTGGGGGGAAAAACCGGAATTTTGGGAAAAAAACGGAATTTTGGGAATAAAACCTGGGAATTTTGGGGATAAAAACCGGAATTTTGGGAATAAAAGCCTGGATTTGGGGATAAAAACCGGAATTTTGGGGGGAAAAACCCCGAATTTGGGAAAAAGAACCGGAATTTTTGGAATAAAACCTGGGAATTTTGGAGATAAAAACCGGAATTTTGGGGGGAAAAACTGGGAATTTGGGAAAAAAAGGGAATTTTGGGAATAAAACCTGGGAATTTAGGAGATAAAAACCGGAATTTTGGGGGGAAAAACCGGAATTTTGGGGAAAAATGGGAATTTGAGGAAAGAAATGGGAATTTTGGGGTGAAAACACGGAATTTGTGGGGGAAAAATCCGGATTTTGGGGTAAAAATCAAGTTTTTTTTGGGGAAAATGCGATTTTTGGAGGGGAAAAATCCCGGATTTGGGAGGGAAAATCTGGGAATTCGGGGCGGAAAAGGCGGATTTTGGTTCCAAATGTGAATTTTTGGGGGAAATGAAAGCCCCGAGCCCCCAAAATTTGGGATTCGAGCCCAAAATAAAAACTCGGAGCCCCTCCCCCCTCTTTTCCCGCCTTTATTTGGGATCCCAAAATTCGGGAATGGGGTGGGGGAGGGGAAGGGGGAACCCGGAATTTGGGGAAAAGCCAAAAATGGGGGGAAAAAACCCAAAACTGAGGGGGAAAAATCCCGGAATTTGGGGGGAAAATCCCAAAATTTGGAGAAAAATCCCAAAATTTGGAGGGAAAAGCCCCAAATTTGAAAGAAAACCCCAAAACTGGGCGAGAAAATCCCGAAATTCTTTGGGAAAATCCCCAAACTTGAAAGAAAATTCCAGAACTTGAAGGAAATTCCCAAGATTTGGTGGAAAATTCCCGAAATTTGAAGAAAAATCCCCAAATTTTTTTCGGAAAATCCCCAAATTTTGTGGGAAAACCCCAAAACTTGAAAGAAAATCCCAAAACTTGGAGGAAAATTCCGGAATTTGATGGAAAATTCCCCGAATTTGGTGGAAAATTCCAGAATTTGGTGGAAAATTCCGGAATTTCACTTCTTGGCCACCTTGGCCTGTTTGTGCTTCGGGGGCGCCCAGCGCAGGCAGATGGAATCCACTGCAATTAACAGAGAGTAATTAGCGCTAATTAGCGCAATTAGCATAGTTAACCGGCCGCCTTGATTGGGGAGGATAATTAAATGGAAAGGGCGTTAATTGGATTAATTAGGGGTAATTAATGAGTGGCATTAATAGCGATAAACGGGGCATTAGCAGGAGTTATTGCTCATTAGTGGGATTCATTAATTAATGAGGCACTAATAGGGTTAATTAGAGAATTAATAAACACGTTCCTGAAAGAGAAACTCAATAAAGTGGCAGTAATTAAAGGTAATTAATTAATTAGTGGCTGTTCATTAATGGGGGAGCTTCAAGGGGGTTTCTGGACTGAACCATTAATGGTGATCACGGGGGGGAGGGGTTCCCCTATTGATTAATTAGTGTTAATTAACGAGCGTGCTCGTGCACAGAAACTCATTAAAGAGACTGCAGTAATTAAAGGTAATTAATTAATTAGTGGCTGTTCATTAATGGGGGAGCTTCAAGGGGGTTTCTGGACCGAACCATTAACGGTGATCACTGGGGGGGGGGCACCATTATCAATTAATTAAATTGTGTTAATTAACGAGCCTGGTCCTGCACAGAAACTCATTAAAACCCTCACCAAACGCCCACCAATTACCCACAGCTAATTAAAGAAAACCCACTAATTAACAACCGCCAATTAACGAACCAACCTCACCCCACCGCCCCCAGACAGAACCATCCCCCCACACTGCGGGGGGGGCACTAATTAACGGCGGTTAATTAACAAGGGGCGCTAATTAATGGCATTTAATCACTGAGAGGGCGTTAATTAATGGCGGTTAATTAACAAGAGGTGCTTATTAACGGCGTTTAATCACCGAGGGGGCGCTAATTAACGGCAGTTAATCACTGAGGGGGCACTAATTAATGGCGTTTAATCCCCAAGGGGGCGCTAATTAACAGCGGTTAATCCCCGAGGGGCGCTAATTAGCGGCGGTTAAGTAAGGAAGGGCGCTAATTAGCGGTGCTTTATTAACGAGGGGGTGCTAATTAACGGCGTTTAACCACCGAGGGGTGTTAATTAGCTGGGGTTAATTAACGAGGGACACTAATTAGTGCGGGTTAACTCACGAGGGGCGCGTAAATCACCGAGGGGGGGCGCTAAGTAACGTCAGTTAACCGCCGAGGGGGCGCTAATTAACGGCGTTTAACCACCCGGGGGGGCGCTAATTAGCGGCGTTTAACCAGGGCGGGGTGTTAATTAAGGAGGGGCGCTAATTACTGACCGGTGATGGGCGGTTTCTTGTACTGGGCGCTCTTGAGGTGCTCCTCCACCAGCTTGGGGGTGACGCAGATGACGTGCTGCCCCTTCCAGTACTTCACCATGTTCAGCGACTGCAGCGTGCTGATGATGTCGGTCTGCGTGATGCTCGTCATCTGGCTGAGTAACCATGGAGTAACCTCTGAGTAACCTCTGAGTAACCTCGGAGTAACCTCTGAGTAACCTCTGAGTAACCTCGGAGTGATCACTGACCCATCACTGAGTTACTGTGAGTGACCCTCAGCGACTGCAGCGTGCTGATGATGTCGGTCTGGGTTATACTCGTCATCTGGCTGAGTAAAGC